CTCTCTCTCTTTCTCTTTCTCTCTCAAAATAAATAAATAAACTTTTAAAAATAAAAATAAATAAATTCATTTGTGAGGATAGGGAATTTTCCTTGACCCACTGCAATGTGATTTTGACTTTATAGGACTCTATGGTCAAATAATAGGAAAATGCTGCGTACTCTGTTCCTCTCCTGCAAATTCAAAATGCACATTCATTATCACATTGAAGGCTCAATAGTGCTCTGTAATAAATATACTTGTTCCCCTTCATTTGGCTTAGTGTTTTCTAAATTTATTTAGCCATAAGATGCTTTCCCCTTTTATCTCTCCACGGGACGATGGGCAGGCCGGCTGCCATATTTAAAGTTTCCACTCTGCGAGCCCATTGTTTGGATTAAGACAGGAGGCCCTGGTCACCCATGTTACCAGAGAAAGAAAACAGCCTTTGTTATGTGGGTATGGATTTGTTTACACAATCGGCTTCCCAACTAGTGGCTGGGGGAGTGTGACACAGGTTGCAATGACAGGGGACCTCAAGTGCCAAACAAATGGGTTTCAAGAACCAGCGATCTCAATGTCAACAGCAACCAAAAACAGCCGAGAGGCTGACGGCAAGGACCAGAGGACAAAGAAGAGGTTGTCACTGAAAAGCAAGAGAGGAAACATGAGTGGAGTGTGGATTACATACTGTCAAATGTTTTCATTCAGCCCCACACGGGTCCCGATGCACAGCTTGTTCCCAATGCACCCCTGATAATGAGCCTGTGTGAAAATCAGTAACAGACTTTCCCCAATGACTCTTACCACTGATGACCTTTCTCGTTCATCTAGTTTATTTTCCCTTTAAACCAATCATTTGTGTCTTCTTGCTTATTCCAGATGATGGAGAAAGCCCCTTGAACCCTCAAAGGTAAGAGAGACATGTTGCATGGTTGAGTAAATTTTTCTAGTTTGACTTTGTAACTCACTGTGATATATCAGAATGACTGTACATAATGTCCCCCTTTTGCAACAAAATTTTTGCAAAATCCCCCTTACTAATTCTAAAGTCAAATACACAGATAATATATCCTAACTACACACAGTGTTTTTAAAAAAAATCAGTGATTTACTCATTGTAAAGTAAAGGAGAAATGAAAGGGAAAGTGATACATGATAGAAATAAAACGCTAAAGCCGAGGGACTACTCTAGTGGATGTGATGAGGCTTGCACCTTTGGGTCAACACCCGTAAAGACCAACAGTCAGTGACCAACAGTTTTTAGTGACTCAAACAGCATCAGAGGCATTGCCAGCACCAACCTGATTTTTTTTTTTTAATGATGAATGACTCTGGTAAAGGATTGGAAAACCTGTTATAACCTTCTCTCAATTCACATGGCAATTGTAATTTAAAAGACACAAAAAATACGCTATTATATTTAAAGCAAGATAAGTTCTAGACTCAGAGGTTATTCACCTACAGGAATATTGAGTAGATATCCTAAAACTGTACGGAGTGAAGGATAAATCTTTTGCGTCGTGTGCCTATTAGGCTATCCAGTGCCCCTGGCCCTTTCCCCCACTAAATGTCAGTAGAACTCTTGATCATTGTGAAAATGAAAACAAACAAACAAACATAGGGGGAAGTACTACCATGCTTTGATAACTATTGCCAGATGATCAGATATCAAGCCTGGGTATTTTCTAAGGATTTCTTCTCCCCAGGAAGAGGCATAGTGGGTACTCAGTACCTATAGCTCAACAATAACTTAACAGGGGTGTACGTGCAACGCAAATTGCCTAGAGCTGTTAAATGGCATCTCCAAAACACTGCAGGCATTTAATTTTGTTACCATTTTTTTTTTAATGCTTATTTATTTTTGAGAGAGACAGAGACAGAATGCGAGTGGGTTAGGGGCAGAGAGAGAGGGAGACACAGAATCGGAAGCAGGCTCCAGGCTCCAAGCCGTCAGCCCAGAGCCCAACGGGGGGCTTGAACTCACGAGCTGTGAAATCATGACCTGAGCTGAAGTCAGACAGTCAACCAACTGAGCCACCCAGGAGCCCCAGTTTTGTTAGCGTTTCAAAGCAGAATTCCAGGGTCGGGTGTTCATGCATGATGTCTCAGGAACTCTGTGCTGTGCCGTCATCAAGGCCCCAGAACCACATGGAAAATCTTTGTGTTTCTGTCCTTTAGCCACCTAGGAACATACGGAGTTTTCACAAATGCTGCATTTGACCCAAGCCCTTAAGGTAAGTCACCCGTGAAGATATTTTTGAAGTGAGGGGAAGAGAAAGAATACTAAAATTTGACTTTTTAGTATATAATCAGGAGTTACATTTTTAAGCATGTATTAAATTTTTAAGCCTTGAAGGAAATTGCGTTGGCAGCAGGGGACAGGGTACGTCAGTAGAGTGACAATAGAAAGTAAGTTTATGCGAGGATTCCCATTTCCTCTGGGATAGAAATGCTCTAATAAGACATAACTTCTTTCAGGATGTGTGACATTCCCATTAATGGCCGCTCGGTAGTATTAACAACACTGCGGACCTAAATTTCATATATTAAAAAACAAAGAAACAAACAAACAAAAAAAACACTGCGGCCTTGCTTGATAACCACAAGTCACACTCCTGGAAACATTCTACAAACTTTCATGCAGCCAATCCCCTATGTGACCTGCTGGAACACAAAAATAATTGGTTACTTTCTCTGTCCCCCAAAGCTCAGTATGAGTAGTTGAGTTTCCTAAGGAAAGGAGCCTAGATGGCAGACTATCTAGAATCTAGAAAGAGCTTATGTTGATCCTCGGGGACAGAAATGCTAAGAGCTAGCTAGCTAGCTTGCTTGCTTGCTTGCTTTGAAGGAACATGTAATTATTTCAATTTCTTTCGTCTCATTTTCAGAGACCTGTCCTCCTGGGTCACCTCACTCAACCTCCATAGGATCCTATTTTTGAACATCAGGCTTCCTGCCAGACTGGGCTGTAACTGTGGCATATTTGCTGCAGCTTTCTGGAAATACTTGTAAAAAAAAAAAAAAAAGGCATGAAGTTTCCTGTAGATTAGTCCTGGATGACAGCAGAAGGATTGTGCCACAAGCCCGAACTCTCCACCCACCCTTCCTGCTTCACCTCTTCCTTAAGCCTCAGCAGCCAGGACTGGATGCCTGCAGTGGTCTGTGGGTTTTGCCCAGCTGTCCCTTTCTTGAAAGACTCATTAGCCAGAGACTGAAGCATCTGACTTACCAGAAGACCAGACTGTGGAAACATAAAAAATGCCTCTATTTTTGGATTGGAGGAAGGCATACTCTACTTTGTTGGGAGGCAGGTGGTATCTGTGACTTGAGGGGACTTCTAGAAGATCTTCTGGGGTCTCCAGTGCTTGCCCTTCATGAAGCTTATCACACCCTGGCTGCAAGCCTTCCAAGAAGCCTCTGGTTGGCACCAGAGGGTGCAGAAGACCGAGAATCAAGACAGGAAGGCACGTGTCGCCTTCCCTCCACCGGTCAGTCCGCCCAAAAGGACCTCAAGACCAAAATTCAAATGTGCAATTAAAAGGATTCTTCCCAAATACCACGCTCTATTATTTGACGTTTTGTTCAATAAGGTCTGTGTACATCATTTTGTTTACATCAGTGTAATGCATAATTACTGCTGTCCCAATGGTAGATTGACCCTTCATTCAGTCGGCAAATATATACCACACCACCCCCCACCCCCCCAACACACAAAATCAGAGAAGAAAACAAAGTCAGGAAATCAGAGAGGCAGAAAAAAAATCTTTATCACCTGAACGTTCTGTAAGAAAGAACAGATGTTCTTTATTAAGCCACATGTTTAATGCATAGGTTGTTGAAAGTTACACAGTAGTTATCCGGAACTGATGCCAAAAAATAGCCAAACGGGACAGTTGCCTTGTCTCTGTGAGGCAGTAAACGTGTCATGCAGAACAAACAACAAGTGGGTGCATATGCAAATAAAAATGGCAAAACCGTCTAGCTAAAGGGTTACAGTAACTTTGCAAGAGCTTCAGTGGTAACCTTGGCGGATTTAGGGACTCGCTGCTCTTAAAAAGCTTCTCATATCCTGTCGACAGCATCTCTGACTGCTTATCTTAGGCCAGTCACTGGGCTGGGTGTTGCAGGACGGTGGCCACCGGCCCTGTGTCCGGAGTCAGAATCTGCCACTTGTAAAAGCTCCTCTGGGGAATTCTGATGGGGCACCGGCTTTCAAACCACTGCTGTCACAGATACAGAAGAGTGAGGCCCTGTTCCTGTTCTAACAGCTGATCATCTAATTGGGGAAACGATAGACATCCCGGCAAAGTAACAGAGGGCGAGCAATACGAGTGTTTTGTTTGAATACTGCTGTAGGAGCTCATAAAGTGGGAAAGGCAACTTGAGTCCAGAAGGAGACTCAGAAGATACTCCTACCGGGAGATGGGTAGGACTCTATTTGTTTTTTTTTCAACGTTTTTTTTTTATTTTTTTATTTTTGGGACAGAGAGAGACAGAGCATGAACGGGGGAGGGGCAGAGAGAGAGGGAGACACAGAATCGGAAACAGGCTCCAGGCTCCGAGCCATCAGCCCAGAGCCCGACGCGGGGCTCGAACTCACGGAACGCGAGATCGTGACCTGGCTGAGGTCGGACGCTTAACCGACTGCGCCACCCAGGCGCCCCTGGTAGGACTCTATTTGAACTCAGCCAGTGGGCAGCAAAGACGAAGAGATGGGCATTGTAAGTTGGCAGAGTAGTATCAGCAAAGCAGCAGACAGAAAGAAGCCTGCGTGGAGGGAGAGTGAAGCCTGGAGGGGGCCCGACGTCACGTGACATCACCTCGTGCGAGGTGCCCCATTACAAGGTATCCAATCTACCGAGACAAACCGTTGAGACAGAAGCTTGGAGGCCCGCAGGTTCGGGGAACCTCGGACAGCGATAGTGATGCTTCGGACAACCTAAGCCTCCGATTTTCTAGCAAGGGCAAAATAAGATCTTAAGGCCCTGTGAAACAGCCCAGTGCTCGGGGAGACACAGGGGGGCCCCTGCAGCGGGAAAAAACACAATCGGAGTAATACGCGTGTGCGGGCTCCTCTCAGCTGCGGGCGAATCGGGCACCTCACAGTATTCTTTTATCTTGCTAACAACTGCATCGGGGGAAAGACTCTCATCCCCCTCTTGGGCCGATGTTAAAACCGAGCTCCAAAGAGGTTGCGTCGCCGACCCAAGCCGGCACGGCGCGGGGAGTGGGACTGAGGTCTGCTCTGCTGGTTGCCTCTGCGGTGCTGCCTCCGTGGCCTCGGGCCCTCCTCCGGCCAGAGCTGGGCGCGGGCAGCAGTCAGTGCGGGGGTCCAGGCCCGCCGGCCCCGTGCCCGGGCTCAGGCCCCCGCTTCCTCCCCTGCAATTGCAAGGTGTCCCTGTGCCCCTACCACAGCAGAATACCCTTTCCCCCAGATCGGGAGACCGACGCGGCTAGGGGCGTGGGGTGACGCCGCCCTGGGAACTGCAGAGGGCGTAGCAGGTGTGGACGTTTTCGCGGTGGGTGGCGAGGGGCAGCGGGCTCAGCAGGTGCAAGGGCCGGACAGCTTTTGCCCGCGGCTCGTTAACCCCTGGGCCCCGCCCCGCCCGCGGGGGCCTCCATTTCTGCCCTTCTCTCCACCTGCGGTAAAACATTCACCAGCCCCTCGCCCTGCCTCCTCCCTCCCGTCCCCGCGGGCGCGGACCCAGCCAACCCCCTTTGGCCTGGAGGGGCGCTAGGAGGGGAGGACGGCTGGAAGCCGCGGCGGCCTCGGCGCCCCGGCCGAAGGGCGGGAGGACACCGCCACCCGCAGCCTCCCGGGGCGCATTGCAGCCGCGACGGCGGACCGGCCTGCTGCGCGGGGCGCGACCGGCGACGGACGCGAGCGCGGCCCAGGTCCCCGGCTGGCGGCGGCGGCGGCGGCGGCGGCGCGCGGGAGCGGGGAAGCAGCCATGGCCCCGGGCTGCCCGCGCCTCTGGGTCCTGGTGGTCCTGGGCGCCGGCTGCGCAGGCTGGGGGCGCCCGGGGGCCGAGGCGGCGCGGCTGAGGCAGTTCTACGTGGCCGCGCAGGGCATCCGTTGGGACTACCGCCCCGAGCCCGCAGACCCGAGGTGAGGCGGCTGTGGTGGCCGGTGGGCTCCCCCCCCCCTCCCCCCGGGGAGCATCAAGTTACCTCTTGTAGGGAGCTTTTCCTTTGCAATCGCGGGGCTTGCGCAGCAAAACAGAGCGGAAAAAACAAAAAAGCAAAAAACCTTATCGCTAAGTTTGGAAACAGAATTGCCAGTTTTGCTTCTAGCGGGGCAGCGTAGTCCACGATGCAGTGTGTGTCCTTCCGAGGTTATGGGAGACACAGGTGCCGCTTTCAAGAGTTGGTGAATACAGTTTCCTTAGAGCGGCTCGCTGGGGGTTGAGTGCGGTGATGGATGCAGAAGCACCTCATTCGCCCTTCCTGCGAAGTCCCAGGCCAGAATGTTGGAAGGCTCGTGTTTTTCTAGAACCTCTAGTTACATATTACTTATTTCGTCCTCCACATGGCGTCCTCTTGTAAAACTAAAGATGCACGCTTTGGCCTTCATTACAAGCAGAGTGTCCAATCGCGGTCGCCAAATTGCCACAATTTTGTTGTGTTCTTACAAATGACTTTCAAACCATCATCGGTCCGTAAATGTGCAACATGTTTGTTCCTTTACCTTGTCTTCCGCTTCATGTGGCTTGTTTTATTCACATTCTTAGTCCCTGGGATAAAGTCTACCCAGGGCTATTTTGGAAGGGTCCCTGTTAACAGACATAGGTAACGAAAAGGTGGCTGAAATAATAAAACTCCATCTTTGAATTGCAAACTATTTTTCCTAATTGAAAGGTTAAAAAAATAAGACTTCCCAGCAATGAAACAAATTATAGGACCTACTCACTATTTCCAGTTATATTTTTATACTTTTTAATGGTAAACCTCTCAGTGTGACTCAAGTTTTTTTTTTTAACTTAACATCACAGTTTACATGATTGTGAAAGACATGTTCCTCTTTTACAATTACAAAACCAAAGCAATCTGCCAAAAAATAATGTAATATTTCAAGAGTCTTGTATAGCATTAGATCCTTCAAAGAATTGCTTTGTAACTGGGTTATTTTGGAGGGTACTACATACTATCTTGGTCTTGTAATAAGAAGAAATCCTTATTCAAAAAATTTATTTTAAATATTGTCTTTCAAGTCGATGATCTTTTTTTTTTTTTTAATTTTTTTTTTTAACGTTTATTTATTTTTGAGACAGAGAGAGACACAGCATGAACCGGGGAGGGACAGAGAGAGAGGGAGACACAGAATCGGAAGCAGGCTCCAGGCTCTGAGCCATCAGCCCAGAGCCCGACGCGGGGCTCGAACTCGCGGACCGCGAGATCGTGACCTGAGCTGAAGTCAGACGCTTAACGACTGAGCCACCCAGGCGCCCCTCAAGTCGATGATCTATCTAGATCGCACCCACAGCCTTAGGAAACTGCCAGAAATCCCGAAGAAAATAACAGGCTTCCCAACATTAATCTCTGTTGCTAGTGGGCAGACAGTAACAGCTTGCTGCCTTCGCGGGGGCACCCCGTGCTTGTGCTTGGAAGTTTGTTCTTCCTTCTGTAGTTGACTCCGAAAATGACAAGCAGAACCACACAGGGCAAAAGCCTGAGTCACATGGTGAGTCCACAGGGCACCAGGACTGGTTATCCGATCCCCTCACCCTGTGGTTGAGTTTCCGGAATTCGCGTAAGAGTCATAACCCTGGTGCCAATTATTGCGCCCAAACCATAGAATGATAACCTAGGCCAACTGTCAATATCTTTGAACCTCAAAACATGTCATTTCTCTCTCTGGCACTTTCTAGTGAAAAATCTAACCCGTGTATCTGGCTGCTTAAACTCAGAGCTTGTGCTCAAGTGGCCTGCACCCGCAGCTGAATGGCACTCACTTTAAGGAGATCGGTCTAGACAATTCCATTCTTTGCCAAAGTGTATTTTAGCACAAAGCAAAGATCTCCCCTCTTACTTCATCCAGTATTAGCAGGAGAATGCCTTTGAGAGGTGACATATATCCATTATTCTTGTTTAAAGTCTGAAGTAAATGTTTTTGAAAATTTCCCTAAGGAAACTTGTTCAGGCACTTACACGTATGTAGGTAACAGGTATTGAAAACGAAAACATATATTTTTTCCCCCTCTAGGGTTCTAGCTTTATATGATTCTTATTATGATCAAATCAGTTTTAGAGCATCCTCATAAATGAAAAATTCATCATGCCTGTTGTTGGAAATCCTATTATTTTCAGCTTTCTACTTAGATTATTTTTGAATAGCAATTCAGTTGTTCGAAATCAACACAGATATACCTCCGGATATACACACAATATATACAGTGAAATATGGTAGAAAATATACCCTTATTGAACAAAAATTAAAATACACACCCCACACAAAAGTCTGATTCTGCTTAGTAAAGCTTTTATGCCATCATCCGTGGTCATGTATTTCAAGATCGGGGGTGGGGGAGGGGAGGGTTGTTTTCGAATGTACTAA